TGTGGGCAGTTCCACTCTGTCCTCTAGGGGCGCTGTGGGTCAGAATGGACTCCAGGCAGTGGGTGTGGTTTGGGCTTTGCTTCCGAGAAGACTGACAGCCTTGGAGACCCTGTGGGCAGAGTGCTGTGAGTCGGAATCCACTATTGCAACGGGTTTGGTTTGGCTTTAAAATATTTCCAGTACACAATAGGCCAAAAGTAAACATTTAGCCAATGTGTCAAGTACATAATGTCCCCGGACTAGCCCTTGGTGGTGAACAGCCCCTCCCCCAGCCTCAGGGCCCAAGCAGGTGTGACCAGGTGCACCCCGTCTGGCTGTGGTCCTGCTCCACCTCCTGTCCCACCACCTGTGTGCTGACACTCCAGCCACCTGAGACCTCAAAGACTTAGCACACGCCGTTCCCTTGGCAGGGCAGCCCTTCCCTCTTCTCTTCTCTGGCTGGCAGAATCCCATCCATGCCCACTGTACCACAGTATCACTGGATAACACGGCCGACTGTGGGCCATGGTACACTTCCTCCTCAGCTGCACCAGGGAGATGTGCTGTCATTCCCATCGGACAGATGGGGATACTGAGGCTGTGAGAGGGCAGCGACTCCACCACACTCATGGAGTGGATGGGCTGGGGTCTGAGCCAGGCCCGCCGGACTCCAATGGCTGCCTCCTGACCACCTGTCCCCAAGGCCCACGTAAGCCCCCTCCCCTTGGGGCACCCTCCCTGTACCCCAAGCCAAAAAACCAAGCCAGCTTCAATTCTGACTCATGACAACCCCACGTGTGCAGAGAACTGTGCTCCCCAGGGTGTCCTAGGACTGCCAGGCCTGTCTTCCCAGGAATCTCTGGGTGTCTGAACTGCCAGTCTTTCGGTTAGTAGCCACCGGGGAGTCCTGCCTGCACCTCACCCGCACACAGGTCCCCAGGCTCTGTAAGGACCTCCCGCCCATGGGTCTGCCCTGAGGCACTGTCATGTGTGTGAGGGTCGGACACTGTCTCCTCCGTGAGCTCACCAGGGCAAGGCCGGGCTGACTCAGCCCTAGGCCCAGGCCTGAGGGCGCTCCCCCTCACAGGCAGGGCCAGGCCAGCTCGAGGGTAGGCTCGTGGCCAGTGGCTGGCAGGCAGCCTCCCAGCCCATGTGTTCAGGCTCCAGGCCACTGACTCCCGTTACATGACGTGGTTTTGAATCACAGCACATCTGTGTCTCTGGCCCCTCCCCTGCTGCTGCTGCTACTGCTGCTGCAGGGTCAAGGGTCACTACATGTGCGTGCATGCTTGGGGTCTCTGGCCAGTCACTGCCCCAGCCCAGATGGGGGAATCACAGTTCAGGTCCCCCACTCAGCCTCCTGCTCCCAGGGTCCCCAGAGTGGCTAGGGACCCCGGGAGAGACCAAGCACACACTCAGCTCATCTGATCTCCATGAGATCAGACCCTTGTGACTCCCACTTTCAAGATGCTAAAACCGAAACCAAACTCTCTGCCGTCAAGTGAGTTCCCACTCAGAGTGACCCCTCCGTGGGTTTCCGAGGCAGTATCTCTACGGAAGTACATTGCCCCATCTTCCTTCTGAGGAGTGGCTGGTGGGTTTGAACCACCAGCCTTCTGGTTAGCAGTCAAGTGCCTTAGGCACTACGCCGCCAGAGCTCCCATGCTAATGAAGGCTTAAATAAGGCATGGGGCAAGGAGTGGCCAGGCCGGGGCTCAACCCCAGGCCTCCTGATGCCAGCCCAATGCTCCTTCCAAAGAGGTCAGCAACGTTTCCATCAACATGTGTCACCAGGTGCCAGACATCGGTCTCAGCTCTGAGACAAGGGAACAGAGCAGACGTCTGGAAGCCAACCCAAATGCCCAATGCTCACCATAGCCCAGCCTGAAATCCTGAGGGTCCCCCAAGCCAGGCTGGAGGTCTCGACCTCCACACACCATGCCCCAGGGTCCATCAGCCCCTAACATAACGTCCAGCCAGAACCTTCCAGAAGGAGGAAACGACCAGAGGGTGCCATGACTTCTGCTGGCGGGGAGGATGTTCAGCAACTGGGCCTCACAGTGGTCAGTGAGGGAGTGGCCAGAAATTCATGGGAACCCAGCATTGCACCACCCTGCTCCAGGGCTGGGTGAGGCAGCAGCCAGCGGCCCCGCCCACCTGTCTGCCAAGGGTGTGTCCCCCTGCGGTCACAGATGCCCAGGACTCATGGTCCCGCGTCCCAAAGGCTTCGACGTCCACCTCTCGTTCTTTAGGAAGGCCGTGTTTTCGTACACAGTGTCCCACCAGCCGCAGGCTCCCACCTCGCCCACATCTGCATCTGGCAAACTCCTAGGCATGACTCAAAGTCCAGCTCAAAAGCCTCTTCTCACTCTTCTATTCTCTGGGGGCCATGGCTCCTCCCAGAGCCTACCGGGTGCTCCCACAGAGCCTGTCCGTATCTCACAACACCCACCACACACTGAATCCTAGAGCTCTCCACTGCTGCCCACCTCACCCACTGTTGCAAGTGGCTCTGCTGGCCTGCTTGTCTAGGACAGAATTACCGGTTTGCTTGTCTGAAGGGCACACACTGGGGCTTCAAGCAGCAAAGCAGTAGAGAAGGGCTCTGGGGTCCATGAGCACAGAAGGCTGAGCCCATCATTCTCTGTGACCTGGGCAAGGTCCCCAATCTCTGTGCTGGGCTCTCATCCGCACACGGGGAAGGAATTCCCACCCCAAGTGTGGCAGGAAGGGAGACAGCAGGGTCATGCATGAGTCTGCATGGTGAATGCTCAAATAC